TGATATTGGTTTAGTAGAAGCATTATAACTTAGCTCCATGTCTGGGAGCCAGGAGACCATGCACTCTACCACTCTGACATTCTGGACAAGTTACTTCAGCCTTCTAGAGTACAGTTTCCTCTTCTGGTAACTTTGAAAAGTTTAAATCTATTTGCAAATGTGAACTGCAACTTTGGTACGAAGAAGATACTATTGACATAGATGACTTCTGGAACTCAAAGCATTCTTGCATTTTTGTCTGTTTCCATTAATTCAGCCCCCATTTACTAAAGCATGTAAGATGCTGTGCGAGGTGCCATACCCATTTTACTATATCAGCTCTTCTCTCATCCAATTTGCTGCCCTTATTTGACTTTTTTCATTAATTGAATTTCTATGATAGCTATACTAAAGGACATCCTTGAAGAATATTTGAAATGTATGGTTAATTCTGACTGTGGCTTATTTTGGTTTAGAAGAGGGCTTACCTTATGCTGTACCTTAACAAAATGTCACATTTAAAGCTAATAAGATTCTAAAACAAAAGCTTTTTACTTGTGGTGGTTTTTTTGTTTTTTAAAAAATTCTTTGACAGCAGAGATCGGCTGAGTTTTTATTAGAATCTCAAAACATAATTTTTAGATTTCTGGAAACACATGTTACTTACAGTAGATGATACTGAATCAAAGAACTTAATCTTTCACCCTTTCAATTATTCTCATAACTTTGTTCCCTTTAAATCTTGATATTGAAGCCTATACAGCTATTTTCATCTTTCCTCAACAGAAATGAATAAAAGTTGATATGCTAGGGGGAAGTTAAATGGGGGTCAAGATTATTAGGATGATCATATTTTTATTTATACCTTTGTATTTGCATATTTGAAATACTGCATATATTTTTTCCTCAGGAGTTCCTAAAGGGAAAAAAAAATCAATTAAAATGGCAGGACCACAGATAAATTATAGAACAGTATTTTAATAAATATAATAGATTGATTCTAAATCTCTTTACCAGTTTTTAACATTTGCTTTCATTTGTCTTTATCTAATGAAGAATATTATTTGTATTATTTTTCTTTCTTTTTTTTTAATCTATTTGCTTAATTTTTTTTTTTTTTTGTCTTTTTTCGTGTCCGGCAACGGATCGCAACCTTCAGTGTCGCGC